GATGAAATCAAGGTTTGTGAAACCCTGACCGTATTTCTCTCTCTCACTTAAAGCCTAGTACTGAGACTGAAGGTTGTCTGTTCGCATGGATTGAATAGAGGTGTTGTTCTTTATCAACGCTTGTGATCATAGCATCAAAGATCTAAATCGCCACAAGAGGTAATATTTTCTATCACTAACCATGCCTATTCGTAAAGATCACTAAAGAAAAATTTCAATTTCTACTACATATTGAGTCGCTATTTTACTTCAGGAACTACCCCTGCATTACTGAGGTATCTACACCATATTGAGTCACTATTCCTCCCTCTAGCACCTCTATTAGTCAACATAGAAATTCCAGGATTCTAGTATCTGTGATTTACTTGAGAAAAGTAAGCCATTAGTTTTCTACTATGTATACTAGTAGGTTACTTGAGAAAAATCATAAACATAATAGTAATTTATTATTATATAATGACTTTTTTGTGTTTAATATTTTTCATATTTTGATCATTTATGAAACGAATTTAAATAGTCAAGACTTTCCATTCCTTTTCTTCATGTTGAAGTGACTTTAGTACTCACTGCACATTTTCATGATTGTCACTCAACACAATAATACCATTGACCATCGTTTTTATAAGATTGTAGATTTTAATGTCTTACCTTACATCATAAAAACTAATAAGGATATTTTAAGCTATTATAGAGAAAAATATATTTATCATAATATTTTTATTTAGAGTGAAAGTCCATTTTAGCCTTTATAAAAACGGTAGAGTTTATATTAATCTTGTGACAAAATACCTTATTTAATCTCGAGACAAAAGACCTTATCTAAATCTATGAAGTGTACCGTTAACTTGTTTACGTGGAATTAACTGTGTTAGTTAACTTCTATCATGGAATTTTAATAATTTTTAAGGGAAAAGTTAGTCCCTCATTAGAAAAGAAATAAAAGAAAATAGGAGTTGAACGATTTTTATTTTTTCTTTCACAAAATAGAAAGAGAAAGATTTAGGGCTTTCTGTTCAGTCTCATGCTTTCATATTTTCTCAGTATTTGGTTTTTGTCCTCTCACATGGCCATATTCACTTGTTTCCAGCGAGATCAATTTCTGATATTGACGGTGATGACAAATGATTCAATCGTAGAAGATGACATACGAAATACCAGAGACAGAGACAAATGTAAGTTTCTTTGTTATTATAACTTTTTTAATCAGAAAAATATCTCTCTCTCTCTCTCTCTCTCTCTCTCTCTCTCTCTCTCTCTCTCTCTCTCTCTCTCTCTCTCTCTCTCTCTCTCTCTCTCTCTCTCTCTCTCTCTCTCTCCTCTCTCTCTCTCTCTCTCTCTCTCTCTCTCTCTCTCTCTCTCTCTAAACAGATTCAAAACAAAACAAAAAGCTAAGAATGCACTTTACATAATCAATTTTGCTATGTGTGTTCTTATACTATCTGATAGACTATACTAAGTTAACCTAAGATTTAAAATTGCGTAAGAGGACAATAAAATAAAACAACTTTTCTTCTTATTTCAACAAGAGAACAATTACAACTTATATAGTTAGGTTTACAAACCTAATGGGCCATGGGGCCAACCAACTACTAACACAAAAGTCCAAAAGATAACATAACAAAATTGCTAATTGCACCTAATATCTTAAATATAATCTTTTAAGAGAACTGGTCTTCTTTTCTCTCTAATGGGCATATCTTTCTTCATAACACTACTCCCGAGCCCATAAAGAACCTTGTCCTCAAGGTTTAGGGGATAAGTGAGCTGAACAACATGTGGGCCAAAAACAAAATTGGGCTTGTGGTTTGTCATTGAAACATGGGGTGGAATTGATAAGGAAGCTTGCATGGGTGCAACCTGTCCAGAGATTGACTTACTTGGAACAAGTGGACGAGGATAAGGGATACAAGTGGGATCAGTATAGTCAAAAGTCACAGAGTGCTTTGTAGTTGACAATACATGTGAGGGAGTACAATTAGGGTTACGTATCACTTGGGCCTCATTTTGTGAAAGGGACTCCGTTGTAGCTTCCGTCCTTTGCCTCTCGTAAGCTACTTCAACATGATTTGTATTTTGTGCACTAGTACCATCGGAGGTTGAAGACGGTGGTTTGAGAATTTGTTCTAGGTCCTGAGGCGCTAACGCCGCTTGTGGTGAAACAATCTTTGTGAGTCTTTCATCCCTTTCTATGTTCGCATGTGTCACTGTGATATTTGAAGCTTAATGTTGAATCTGTTGATGATCTTGTAGGTTGTAATCTATAGAGCTAAAGTCTATGAGATTTGGGGAGGGAAGCGGTTGAAGGTTTTTATATGGGTTGTCACCATAGTAAGGTTTAAGTAAAGAAACATGGACAATAGGATGGATATGGGAAGATGATGGCAGATCCAAGGGGTAAGTGATGGTACTGACACGACGGATGATGCGAAAAGGATCGTAGAAATGTTTTGACAATTTTCGCGAAACCCTAAGAGACACGGTAGATTGACAGTATGGTTGCAGATTCAGCAAAACAAAATCTTCAGCTTGAAAAGTGTAAGCTCTTCGTTTTATATTTGCTTGCTTTTCCATTGTGACTCTACTTTTTTTGAGGTGTGACTTTAACTCCATGAGTATTTGTTGTTGATTTTTCAATGCAAGGTCTAAGGATTCCTCTGTAGCTGTACCGTCCAAGTAGTGGGGTAACGCCGGTGGGTCACGAACATATAAAGCTCTAAAAGGGGTCATTTGAATGGTTGTGTGAAAAGAAGTATTGTACCAGTGCTCATCCAGGTGCAGAAATTTGTGCCATTGACGAGGGTGGTCTCCAACAAAACACCAGAAATATGTCTCTAACGAATGATTAACGACTTCAGTTTGTCCGTCAGTCTCCGGATGATAGGAGGTATTGTATTTGAGGGTCGCGCCATGAAGATTGAAGAATTGTTTCCAGAATTTGTTGAGAAATAATGGATCCCGATCCGAGACAATGGATTTTGGAATGCCATGGAGGCAGAAGATTTCTACCGTGAAGAGAGCGGCCAGATCCTTAGCAGTGAACTTTTTTGGCAAAGGGATGAAATGTACGAATTTGGTTAAGCGATCACAGCGTACCCAAATTATAGTGTGACCAAAAAAATTTGGTAAATGTGTAACAAAATCCATTGTAATTTCTTCCCAGACTCTGTTCGGAATTGGTAAAGGTTGTATCATATCCTTCTTTTTCTATGTGTCATATTTGTGATGTTGACAAATTGTGCACTCTATGACCATTTTTTTAACCTCTAGGTATATGTCGGGCCAACAAAATGAAGCTCTCAGTCTTGCAGGTGTTGTCTTAACACCTGAATGCCCTGTTGCTGGTGTGTGATGGTGTTCATGGAGAATCGATTGGCGCAGCTGGTGGATGTCAGGTATGTAAACTCTCTCTTTGTAATAAAGGATGTCGTTTGTAACCCTATAGTCTTTGTTGGTATTGGCTTGTGCTGCTAACTTAAGTAAATTATGACCTGCATCTGTGTGATAAAATATGCACAGAGTGGTGAAAAAGTGTGGGTTGGGGGAGGATAATGAGAGCAATAAATACTTATCAATTGTGAACTTACAGCTCAAAGAGTTAGCAACAAAATTAGATTTTTCAGGTTTGTAGAATAGTAATTTTTTAACAAATTATTTTTCAAATATAACTTCATATTTAAATTTAATCATAAAATAGTTTTTTAGATGCATTAATATTTATTTTATTTATTTTAAAAGAGGGCTTTTTTTAAAAACACACTTAATGGTTACACTTTTAACAACACATTTATTTAAAAAACACTCTCATTTTCTTACCCACTACAACGTTATATGAATAAAGTGTTATCCTTTTCCACCAAATAAAAAACAAAATAAATCTTAAGAGCACTTTTGTTTTAAAGCATTTTCATTTTCATTCTTACTACTATGCTTTAAGAGTGTCATGGTTTTAAACCATTAAGTGCGTTTTAAAGCCCCATGGAAGACTGAAAAAGTGTTTTCAAAAACTAACTCTGGTGTAGTGTGTGCTTATAAATCAGAATATCACATCCTTAATTTCATTGAAGTAAGGTTTTTATTCAAGTAGTTATGAAAGGAATAAATTTTCTTTCTCAGATCTTGAGGTTGTTTTTAAATTCTAGCCACAAATAAATGTTTAAGACAAGTTGGTAACCATTTTCTTTATCTACCTTTAGACAAACTATTTTCACTAATATCTACCTTCATACAAATGCAAGCATGATAAAGCTTTATCTTTGCTTGTGTCACTTTTAAAGTGGGCATGTTATTTGTATATGTCACCTTTAAATGAAATTAAGATTATGTATTGTTGCACCCTCACAAAAGGATGCAAGCAATTTTTTAAAGCTTTGACTAATTCTCATTACCACGTCTAGAAATTAACGTGTCATCTCTCATATTATATATGACACCCCTCGAAGGATATAAAACGATTAAATTATTCAGACTCAAATCATTCATCACAGATTTTAAATTTACGTAGACAATCGAATTTTTCAAATTTTTGGACAATATTTGAAATTTCGAAGGTGATGCCCAAAATTTTGCAAACAAGTGAGAATTTACGATATTTTTGTGAAATTTCTGGTACTTTGTACCGGAAATTTCAAAATATCTGGTATTTTCGTACCGGAAATTTTGAAATATCTGATATTTTCATCTATCATTTATACCGGAAATATTGAAATTTCCGATGCGTCACATAATATCAGAAATTTTGAAATTTCCGGTAGATTAATTTTTTTTTGAAATTATCGAAAATTTAGAAATTTCTTATATTGTGGAGTCGGTAGTTGAGGAGCACATTCTGGAGCCTGTGGTGTAGGAGCTTAAGGAGGAGGTTGTTGCTGAGCGAGTTGATGAGGTGTCCCCCGTTGATACAGACACCACGACTCGTGCGTCTACAGAGCCATCAATACACACTGATGAAGGATTCCCTGGAGGACCTTCAGACATGTATGTGCTGACAGGATTTGCGGACCATGTCACATATAGGATATGACAAGGCGAGGTATATATTTTTGGTTTTGTTTAATTGCATAATTTTTATTTTTGCATACAAGATTTGATGTATAATAATTTGTTTTTGCTTCTTACAAAAGCGTCTGATGTTGAAGATCAGTTCTCATGATTCGAAGTTGAAGAACTTCCGTGAGAGTCCCATGTCTGAGGAGTTGAAGAGGAACGTTAGCGAGTTCCATCTTCTGGAGTTTGTTGGTTGTTCCTTGACCATGTTGGACGCCTCCCTTTTATCAGCTTTTGTTGAGAGGTGGCACCCGAAGACATCATCCTTCCATATTTCATTTGGAGAGATGACAATGACTTTAGATAATGTGGACACCCTCTTTCACATTCCGATTGCTGGTACATTTTTTACACCAATTTATAGGGACCAGACGATTTAGTGTTCAAAGGCAGAGGTGCTGAAGGAGTTTGGTGAGACTCGGGTATTTCACCTTCGGATGTCTTGGCTGAGGAGTTTGTATAAAGAGCTTGTGGAGGCACAGAGGTACGAGGCTTCCGCTAGGGTGTACATGCTACATCTGGTGGCATGTTCTCTCTTTGCAGACAATTCTAGAGTTTATATTGATGTTCGATACTTGTCTCTCTTCAGCGCACTTGACACTCCATGTTGGGCTTAGGGAGTGGCGGCCTTCACCATGTTGTACACGACACTTGGTGTTGCTTCTCGTCCTGAGACCAGACATCTTGCTAGTTACCTCGGCTTGTTACATGTATACTATAATTTATTTGATGTTTTTTATTAATTATTTGGGTGTATTTATATGATGGTTTTTATTTATGCAGTGTTGGATATACAAGTACTTCCCTCACATATGTGAGTGGAAGATCCAGCATGTCACGACACCTAAGCCATGTGCGAGGAGATGGAAGGCCAAGCAGGCCATTTGAGGAGGTTTGATGGAGTATCAGAGGAGGCTTGATGCTCTGACCTTGGATGATGTTGTCTGGACACACTATACATCTCATCACCCTCATCGTCCATTTGAGGTATCTATTTTACATTCAGGGCATATTAGATGGGAGAGCCATGTGGCTAAACACTTGCCTGAGAGGTGTCTACGCCAGTATGGTTATGTACAAGGTATCCCTCGTCCAGTTCCAGAGTCTCCAGCTAGTGGGGTTGATAGATGGTTTCAGAGTCACATCCTCACCTCTCCCCATGAGATCATGGATACAACCGTCAAGGTTCAGCAACCTGGGTAGTGCGAGGATAGATACCTAGAGTGGTTTCACAGTGTGTCACACCCCCAGGTCATACCATTGGCTGCAGTATTTGATGTTCCTGAGCCTTCTGGTGCTAGCCCATCTATCGAGCCCATCTATAGAAGGAACAAAAGAGACATTGGAAACTTGCTTGCATAAGTGTCTTTGTTGAATAAGTGGTTTTCAAGAGAGAGATGTTGGAGTTGGTACGATGAGGATTTTCATATTCTAAATAATTCCTTTATCCATTGTGTCTTTCTCAAGTAAGGTATCCATAGGCATGGAGTAGTATACTGATGAAATCATATCATTCTTCCTTGAGCCTCGTGCTAAAATCTCTAGTTGACTTTCTCCATAATTCTAGCAGTTGACAAGATGTAGTTACTTTTGCAAAGAGTACAGACAAAAGAGCTTCATACTATGTTTCCAGTAGAGAATTTTAAGTTCCATTTGAATCATCAGAGGAAAAGTCAATATAACATATGATCTTCTATTTGAACATCAGAAACTAGAATATGATGTTGAGGTCTTCATATGAAATTTAGATTCTAGTCCACTAGAATCCAGATTTACTCGCTTCTTCTTTACAAATGCAAGCATGATAAAGCTTTACCATTTACTTGTGTCACTTTAAAAGTGGGCATGTTATTTGTATATGTCACGTTTAAATGAAATTAAGATTATGTATTGTTTCACCCCCATAAAAGGATGCAAGCAATTTTTTAAAGCTTTGACTAATTCTCATTACCACGTCTATGAATGTAACTTGCTAAAGATGAAAGATACTTACAAAAGTACGTAACATAATTCGATATCAATGAGATGATCGGTTTACACAAATAGCATATGTACCAACACTACTACGAAAAACACTTTCGGTAATCCACCATAGTTATATCACATTTTTTATGTGCATGTTTTTTTTATTAAGAAATTTTTCATCACAGATCCTATAAAGAACCGTCATCATATTTTTTGGATGACAAGCTTCGAATCTCAGCCTCTACATTTTTATAATAAAAATAAGTGTGCATCCGTTAACATTTATTTTATTTAAAATTGAAAGTATTACAACTACGGGTTATTATATTTAACTGCGGGAATAAGTTTAATATATCATTACGGTTAACGCTTACAATCGTAGTGGAAATTTTTTTCCACGACGTTAAAACATAGCAAGTACTTTATTCTATTCATAACACACAGGGGTGTCCTAGCGAACGATACGACAGTGATATCAAATATCATTTCTGAAAACGAAAATTTCACCATCATCTTCGAATATCATTTCTGGAAATAAAATCTTCATCATCCTCTTCAAATATCATTTTTGATACATTACCATTATCTCTCTCTGACGCTTATGAATGTTTAGGGTTTCTTTCATGAATCAATGGCTTATGAATATTTATGCTTTAAGTTTTGGTGTTGGATATGCATATGCTTTAGATTTTGTGTTTGAAGCATTAGTGTGTCATTCACATTTCCTTTATTTTCGTTTTGTTGCAACTCCGTTTTGGTTTTATTCAGATTATATAACTTATAACCATAATATGTAACCATAGTGTTAGGTCTGTGATTTTATGATTGGCAACAATTTTGATAAAATATATTTCCTTTAGTAAAACATGTATCACTGCTAGATGTTGAGCAAGATATCATGACATCTTAACCAACTGTCACAACATGTGCTGTTGTTGCTTCTGGAAGGTTCTGATTTGATTTTGTGAGATTCCCTATGGATATATCTCACATACTTGCGCAAGACCAAAAGGATAATATTTAGAACAAGTGATTTTATCTCCAACTGTACATTAGTTTCTAAAATTATATGTTGAGATAATTTAGGAAATTTATGATATCTTTGTTCCATAATTTAAGGAGATTTTTCTGCATAATTGGTGCAACCCTTAGCTTGTGGATCAACCATAAATTGGGTAAAGATTTCAAAGCTCGTGGACTGCTGAGGCGTTTATAAAGAAATACCTAAACCTAAACTTAAAGAGAACTTAAGAAAAAATAAGGGAAAACTAGATATTCAAGAGTCTTAGAGTTTGAGCACTACAAGAAAATTATGTTTTAGCTGCCACAATTTAGCGTCGGTCTCGACACCGACGCTAGTAGCGTTACTATTTTGACCACCAAAACCGACGCAAATTTATATATATATATATATATATATATATATATATATATATATATATATATATATATATATATATATATATATATATATATATATATATATATATATATATATATATATATATATATATATATATATATATATATATATATATATATATATATATATATATATATATATATATATATATCTTAAACGAGGGTATCTTTCGTCGCTAATATTCCTAGTGAAAATTTTTCATTTCCCTCCTATACATATTTCGTTTGCCTTCATTTTTATAGAGAAAATAGTTATTTATTTTTTTATATAGTGTCGGTCCTAAACGACACAACACTTTTTTGGTATTTATTTAATATTTTATTTGTTTTTATAATAGTGACTCCATCAATCGACGCTAATATTGATGCTAAAAGTTTTTATTTCCCTCCTTTTTATTGTTAAAGATTGAATTTAAGTCTTTTGTTTTAGTGTCGGTCCGAATCGGTGCTAATATTGGTGCGAAAAGTTTTGGCTTTTCCCCTTTAATTTTGATTGCCTCCTTTTTAAATTATAATTAATATTTATAATTAATAACATAAAATATAATTACAACTAAACTAATATAATTAAACTAAATAAATTTAAAACTATAAATTAAATATATTATCAATTAAAAAAATCAAATAAATCTAAATTCATAAAATAAAAACATAAATTAATAAATTAAAAGTAAAACTCAAAATTATAAAATAAATAAAATCATATTGATACAAAAATTAAGAATATATATTAATAAAATAAATAAAATATAATTGATAAACTAAATATATATTAACAATTTACAATTATACATTTATAAAATAATTGATAAAATAATTATATATTAAGAAAATAAATAAAAAATTTGATGAAACCATTCTCCAAACCCATTCAGAAATTAATCCAACACGGTGCTTTCTTCAAACCCATTTTCTTTGTTGCATTCTCCAAACCCATTTTCTTTATGCAAATACCCTCCACATTCAGAAATCCAAACAACCACCACAATACCCTCCACAACCCATTTTCTTTGTTGCATTCTCCAAACCCATTTTCTTTGTGCAAATACCCTACATATTCTGAGGTGCTTTATCCATTCCTCTATTATGTGATTCAAGGATAAGTTTGTTCCCAATCTTCGATGAAAGGGTAACAACTAACTTCATCTAACTTTATCTAACTTCTCTCAATCTCCACGGTTTGTGACTTTTAAGTTTCATCGGGTTTGTTTAGTTTTATGATTTAGATTTTCAAGGATTTAGGTTTTCATCCTATTTTAGGTTTCATCGATTTAGGTTTGCATCTCGATTTTGGTGTCATATTGTCTTAGGTTTTGTGACAGCAATAGTTGGCAGAAGATCTGAAAAGAACAGGTGTGCCATCTATTCTTGACAATGTTTAGTAAGAATTAATTTTTTGACAAATGTGTTTCTGAATAACTCTATTTTTTGTTCATAAATGAAGTTGAGGGTTGGCGAACTTCATTACATTTCGCTCTCTTTGCCTGTAAGTCAATTTTCTAAGGCAATTTATGAATAACTCTGTTTTTTGTTTAGTGAGAATTGAAAATGTTGTTGATTAAAACTTGTTTTTTTGTATGTCTGTTGTTGTACCCCAAAATTTTCCCTCCCATATTTCTCAATACATGTCAAGTGAGGTCCTTAAATTGCTCAAGGAAGTCCAAGAGTTGACCAGACAAACTCTCTCATAAGGCAGTCTACCTCAAATTAGGGTTTCATTTTTCATCAGGATATGTGAACCACAAAGGACTCAAATGCTCACCATTGTCCTAATATGTTCTCAAGGTCATCCATGTCAAGTTTCAAGCCTTGCAGAGGAAGTTTGCTCAGTCAATTGCTCAAATACCTAGAAATCGACTGTGCTAGGTTAAAAGTCAATTGTGGCCCACATACAGTCAAATCTCAAGATTTTTTGTCAACATCCTCATTTTGAAGTATCATTAATCATTTTATCAAAGGTTGATCATGATTTATCAAGGATTGCTCATAATTCATCAAAACCCAAAAGTTGCTAAATTAGGGTTTCGCAGGAAAAGTCAACTCAACTTTGACCAAGCATAACTTTATCACACTTTATCATAAATGACCCATCCAAAGCTCATTTTGAATAGGATGTAGTGATCTATAATTCATCTTCATCTCCCAAGTTCAAAATATTCACTCACAAAAAGATATGAATTTTGACATTATAGGTCATTTGGAAAGTCAACAAAAACACCTTTTGGGTCAAAGCTTCATACATGAACATGAAATACTCAATTCAGATGAGACAAAAAGGGTTGCTTAGAGGACATCCTAAGCTTTCTAGAAAGTCTAAGAACAACTCTCTAGGATCAAAATTTAGAGAGTTATGCATTGGCCAAGTTGACCCATTTTACAAAATTGCCAAAAGTCAAATGTGTCCAAAATTGCATTTTTTGCTAAATGGGCCCAACTTTTTAGAATTTTTTTAATTAATAACCAAGTATTAAAATAACATTTCGCAAATAACCGCGTTTCGAAAAAAAATACGCAAATAGCCATGTTTCAGATGACTCCCCAAAGGAGGAGCCATCTGAAATGGCGCATGCACCTATATTTTAAGGGGAGGCTCCATCTCACTTGGCGCCTATGTGCTTAGGGCATGCCCTAAGCCAAGTGAGATGGCGCCTAGGTGTATTTTTAGGGCAAAAAATGAATTTTTTTTCCCGGTGCGTTGCGTGTTGGACAGAGATCAACAAAATGGACTTTTTATTTTAAAAAAAAATAATTACATCCAACTGTATTACATTAAAATAACAGTAAAAAAAACAGATTAAAAAAAATGGATACAAAAA